CAATTGGTATTTTAATCTCCTTTTTTATATTTCTTCCCAATCTATAGATTGTTCAAAAGTGAGTTGTTTAATTTTCATGTAGTTTTACAGTTTCCAGTGTTTCTATGGTTATTGATTTCTAGCTTTATTGCACTGAGGTCAGAAAAGATCTTCAATATAATTTCAGTTTTTAAAATTTTGTTGAGACTTGTTCTATGGACTATCATATGATCTATCATGGGTATTCCATGTGTTGATGAGAAAAATGTATAGTTTGCAGCTGTTGGATGTAATGCTCTGTAGATACCTTCTATGGCCATTGGTCTAGGGTGAAATTTATTTCTGATGTTTCATTGTTGATTTTCTGTTTGAATTAACTGTACACAGCTAAAAAGTAGGGTACTGTTGCCACCAACTATTATTGTACTGGATTCTTTCCCTTTAGGTCTATTAATACTTGTTTTATATATTTTAGTGGTACAATATTGGCTGCATACATATTTAGAATTGTTTTTCTACTCACTGAATTGATATTTTTATTATTATATAATGACACTTCTTACATTTTCTTTTACTTTTGATTTAAAGCTTATTGAATTTAATACTAGCATTGGTGATTCTGTTTATTTTTGGCTTTTGTTTACATGAAATATCTTATTTCAGCTCTTCACTTTACATACATGTATGTTTTTAGAAATGAAATGATTTGTCTGGCTTTAAATGTATAATTCAATCAATTTACATCCAATAAGGTAATTCAATCCACCAAGGTAGTTATTGCTGGGTAAAGTTTTACTACAGACACTATAAAACTTCTTTTCTAGTTTTATTGTAATTTCTTTCTTTCCAACTCTTTTAAGTCTTTCTTTGTGGTTAAGTGAATTACTTTAGTAGTGTTTTTTGATTCTTGATTACTATTTTCATTGATCTATTACAATTTTTACTTTGCTTTATTTATCACAATGCTTACAAAAATCTCTTGATCACAACAAGCTACTTAGCAATATAACATGGTCATAAGAAGAACATAAAGTATTAGAAAACTAACCAGTCATTTTGCTTTACTCTCCATATTTTGGGCATTTGGTATCTGATCTTACATCATTCTATATTGCCTATTGTTTATCACGTTAATGTAGTTAATACTTTAAATCGATACTTAAGTCTTCATACAAAAGATATAAATGGTTTTTTACAAGGTAGGCTTAGATATTGGGAAGAGGTTGGAAATAGAAAAGGGACATGATGGTAATTGGGTGGAAAATAATCAAAATACATATGCATGTACCAATACATTAAATGAATCTCACTTTTTTGTATTATTAATATGAACTAATAAAAAGATAAGAATGGTTTAGGCACCATGCTTTCAATATTAGAGCATTCCAAACTTATTTGTTTAATTACTCTTACCAACAAGTTTTATACTTCCTGTTTTGTCCTTAGTCATTAACCTCTCTTACTTTTCACTTTGAAGTACTTCCTTCAGTATTTCTTGTAAGACAGATCTAGTGGTGATATTCTCTCAGCTTTCATTTGTCTGGAAAGATTTTTTATCTCTCCTTGATTTCTAAATTATACATTTCTGAATATAGTATTCTTAGTTGATAGTTTTTCCCTTTGGTATTTTGATATTATCATGCCACTGTCTCTTGGCCTGTCAAGTTCTTGCTGGTAAGTCTGTTCTAAGGCAAATTGGAGTACTTTTATTTATTGTTTCTTTTCTCTTGAAGCTCAATGAACTTCTCTTTATCTTTCACTTTTGAGAGCTTGATTTAAAAATGTCTTGGGCTAGGCTTGGATGAGTTAAATTTGATTCATGACATTTAACCTTCTTTAGTTTGATATTTTTATCTTTCTCTAGGTCTGAAAGGTTATTTCCTACTATTTCTTTCAATAAGTTTTTTACTCCTTTGGCATTTTTGATTCCTTCTTATACCCTAATAGCACAAATACTAGCTTAATTCTTCTGCCAAAGTTCCCATATGCTTTCTTCACTCTTTTTTTTTTCTTTCTTTCTTTCTTTTCTTTTCTTTTTTTTTTTTTTTTTTTTTTTTTTTTTTTTTTTTTTCTTTTGTCTTTTTCGTTTTATCTGTACCGGGGATCGAACTCACGACTGCCTGTTTGCAAGGCAGGCGCTTATGCCGCTGAGCTAAATCCCCAGCCCCCACTCTTCACTCTTTTTTTTCAACTACATATTTTCAAATAGCTTGTATTTGAACTCATTAATTCTTTATTTTGTTTGAACTATCCTGCTATTAATGTCTTCTAACACATTCTTAATTTAACTAATTTTTAATAGCTCCTATCTCTTTATTAAGTCTCTGTTAGAGTCCTGACATGTTTCTCATCATGCTTACTGAGTTTCCTTAAAAGAGTTGTTTTAAATTCTTAGAGTTCACCCATACTGATTCTTGCCTGATTGGTTTCTGGCACCATATTTTGAGTCTTAGCTGGGTTCGTGATTTCCTGAATGCTCTTGATGCTTATTGGCATGAAATTCATTAGAAAAATGAAGTATTAAATATTCATTTCAGTCATCCTAGTGTAGATTTACATCTATCTTTCCATAAATTCTAAGCAGGCTGCTTATCTTCTCTGAATCTGTTGTCACTTTCACTATTTCAGCAGTAGATGGCACCCAGGTCTGAATTTGCCAGGAATCTTGTTGGTATATTGTTGCTATTTCTGTACTAGAGGGTAACATAAGCTGACATTTGTCCTAAATATTCTGTGGGTGTATTGTTCAGAAAGAAACAGACAGTAACCTAGAGAAAGTAGTCTGCCCCTACATGCCTCTTCCTGATGCCAGAGTAGGACTATGGAAGGGTCAGTGTCAGTATTTTCCGTCACACCTTTAGCCACTAAAACCATCAAGCTGTGTCACATTCTGAATTCACAGCCCACCAAGACCAGCACAACACTGTGGTAAGACCAATCATACACTTCTGTGGGCTGTCTATTGCTGAGGTGGACTTCTGGTCTATGACTGGGGAAACCAACTGTGGACAATGCTAGCTAAAACAAAATCTGAATGATTGAGACTGTGTGTTTTCCCCTGCCACTGGAGCTGCATCAGAGGCTCTTTTCACATAGGCCTGGGGATGGGGGTCATAGATTTTGCCCGGGATTAGTTTTCAGTAGCCAAACACTAAATTCCAGGAAAAGCCATGTACTTAAGACCCTGTCCTATCCCCAGTGAATGATGTCTTGTACTTTATGCTGCTCAAAGTTACTTGGTGAAGGCAAACTGCTGGCCACCTAGCTAATGCTATGATGGGTTAATCCTGAGTCCCACAGCCACAAGGACATGCAATTTTGGGTCAAAACATGAGTCTTTTCCACTAGGGCACAAGTCTCTGTCTGATACCAAGGTAGATCTAGATCTGCATCTGTAAGCACTGGTCTCTTGGTAACAGAGTTGCCCACAGTTGGGGAATAGGTTTTAGAGATAGTCCATTAGCCCAAACGCTGTGGCTAAGCTGAGTCACATCAAGTTTCACAGCAACAATGACCGACAGTGTCTCAAGAGGGAAGTTGTTCCTTGCCAAAAATATTTTAACATGCCTACTTTCCCCAAATCTCACAAATTCAGATACTTCTTTTCTTTCCAATATGATGGGGGAGTGAAATATTATGTTACTTTATTTTTCATGTTATTGATTGGTAGTGAAGTATTACATCATAGTTTCAGTGATAAAGTATATTTATTTTATATGAATTATTTGTATATATCTTTGCCTATTTTACTTAATATGCTTATTTTAACCTCTTATTTCAGGCAATCTTAATATATTATGAGCATCAATCATTGGTCAAATGTATATATAGCAAAATCTTCTCTCAAGTCATTGTTTGTCTTACAATTTATCACATTTCATTTTTATGCCTGCCATTATTTTCCTAAATGATTTCAAGATTTCATTTCTGGCTTCAGAAAGGCTTGTCTATTTCAATATATTTTTGAGCATCTTGTATGTATTCAATTTAAGTATTTAATACATGTGACTTTACTTTCTATCAGTGATTTTAAATCTAAATAATAATCAATAGTTCAAATATTCTTTGCCTGTTTGCATGAAGTGCCATATTTTTTTTTGAAGTGCCATATTTTTAAAAATTGTTTTTATTCACCTCTCAGGGTATGCCCTAAATAGTCAGTTGTTCAAAAAGCATTTCTTCACATTGATGTCATTTCATATTTATCATAAATTAATTTTTATATGCTACATAGGTGTGTTTCTAAAAATTATTTTATTTCATTGATATATTTGTTCATGTCAGGATTTTATATAGAGTTTGCCAAAAATGTATACACAGTTCAGGAAAAGAAAAAAAGGAAAAACAGTATGATGATCTTTCAACAGATGGTATTATTCTCATATGCGGGACCCTAGAGGATGTTATATATCACAGGAAACCCACTACACTGTCAGTTCTTAGAGAAAGCATTGAAAATGCATGTGCAACAATCTCAATTATCAAGGTTACCGAAACAGCAGTTCATCATACTAATAAATGTCTGGAAGCTAATGGCCACCTCTTACAGCACATCTTGTAACTGTAGAACCCAAAGGAAACTTGTATTAATCTCATGGATATCTCAATAAGTTTAGTATTAAAATATTTACATGAACTTCCTTTTCCTGAAATGTATACACATTCATTCAGCAGGCTCTATTTTTACTATTACAGTTTTAAAATACAGTTTAATATTTCCAAGGTGTTATTTTTCTGGAGACATTATTATTTTTTGTCAGATTTTTCTTGGCTATTGTTACACATTTGCACTCCCATATGAACTTTTATCAAGTCATACCAAAAAGTTTATTAGATTATAATATTTTCAGCGATGGAACCGTAAGAAGTTCAATAAATACTTTTCCTTCAAATACTATAAGACTGGATATTACAGGGCTCTGGAAATTGATTAAAAGCAAACAACAAATAGAGAAACATTTATTTATCAAACTGTGCTATATATTTTAATAAAAACAGTGGAAATGCAACACTCTTCTTACCTGAGGCTATTCTCCACCTAACTCCCTCAGCTCCTTCAGTGTTGTAGTTTTACTTGGATGCACTGGCTTTTAAACCAAAGTTGCACTGCCAGGGGCCAGGGATTTAACTCAGCATCTCCAGCACTTGCCTGTTAAGCACAAGGTCGTGAGTTCGATCTCTGGTACCAAAAACAACAACAACAACAAAAACAAAGAAATAAAGCTTCACTGCCAGAAGTGCTATCTTTATTTGAAGAAGGGGGCAAAACTTTCACAGTTAGCAAAAAAGGTATCATAAAGGTAAAACCTACACTCTAAAAAATATAACCAGAATGAAACAGCCCTTAAATAGGTTCCAACAGCTTTAAGATGGTAATGAAAAGAATCAGTGAATTAAGGATAAAGCAATAGGAAATTCTCTAATATGATAAATGGATAAAAATGAAGGAAGAATAATGGAACATCAGGGACCTGTGAAATATTATCAAGTATATAAACATGTGATGAATAAAAATGGTGTCATAAATACATTTGAAAAGATAACTGCAAACTTCTCACATTTGATAAAAAACATTAATCCACAAATCAAAAAAGCTGGATAAATACCAAGATAAACATGGAGACACACCTACACACATCAGAGACAAAATGCTGAAAAAAAGAGAAATGATCTTAGCCAAAAGGCCAAGAAGCAATGTGAAGAGAAAAATCTTGGAAACCAAAGGAGAAAAACATCTCATTGTGTGTAAAGAAGCAATAATTAAATTAATGTTTGACATTTAACCAGAATCAGTAGAGACTAGAAAGCAGTAGGATAATATATTCAAAGTGCTGAAAGAAATAAGATGTCAACTAAGGACCCTATATAATTCAATTATCTTTTAGAATGGAGGTAAAATAAATGCAAGCCTCAATCAACAAAAACTGAATGTTCCAAGAAACATTAAAGACTTCAAGTTGAAAAAATGTCATATCAAATGCCTACTCAAAGTAGACTATGATAAATGAAAAGCTACACTATAATCTCTAGAGCAGCTAACAAAAAACCTCAAAAATATAGCTTAAAAACTCAGTAGGACAATTGCACATTAGAAAAGATTTGTTCAACCTAAAAGAAGGTAGTTAAAGAGAAACAAAAATGATGTGAGACATATAAAATAATTAGCAAAACATTTAGTATAATTCCAATCATATCTAAAATACATCAAAAGTGAATGAATGATATATTCTAATCAAAATATTGTCAAACTAGATAAAATCAAGAATAAATTGTATGCTGTTTGTAGGAAGCACATTTTAAAGATAAGTTGAAGTTGATAAAGTATATCATCCTACCTTAAAATAAGGGGTTGAAATGGTCATATTAATACTAAACAGACTCTAATTCAACAGACAGCATGGCAAAGAAAAACATTTCATAATGATAAAAAGTTCACTATATAAGAAATACATAGACATTCCACCTAAAAAGAGCTGCAATGCACATGAATTAAAGCAAAGCTAGAAGAATTAAAAAGGAAATAAATGCTTCAAAAATGTCTAACCCTAACTCTAGCCATAACCCTGAAAATCTTAGTAATTTATAGAATAAGTAGAAAAAGTAAAAATATAGAAAACTTGAACAATATCAAACAGCTTGACCTGATATTTCAGAACATTTTATACCATAACAACAGAGTGTAGATTCTATTCAAACACACATGAAGCATTCTCTAGTGCAAACTACAAAAAGGGAAATAAGCATATCAACATTTATGTACAACCCTTAAGCAGTGCTTGAAAATAAGTTATGCTTTAAACTCTTTAACACAAAGAATAAATACTTCAAGTCAACAATTTAAATTTCTACCTTAAGAAACTGGAAAAATAAGAGCAAATTAAACAAAAAACAAGAAGAAAAAGCAATAAATAGATCTTCTTTTTAAAGATCAATAGCAGATAAATCTCCATCAAGATAGAAAAAAGTACAATGAATCAGGATGAAGAAATAAAACATATTTAGATTGGAAAGAAAAATGCAAAGTTTTGATTATTAATAGATTACATAGTCATTTCTGTGGAAATTCTAAGAAATATACAAAAATACTGGCATTAATAAATGAATTTAGCAAGATTCTAAAATACAAGACCAATTACCAAAGTGAATGCATTTCTACATAACAATGACAGATAAACAGAAATTTTAAAATACATGCATTTCTAAGGTAACAAATTCTTAGCAACAAATTTAACATCAAAAATGTGCGAGGCTTATACACAAAAAACTTCAAAACATTGTTGCAAGAAATTAAACGACACTTACATAATGAGAAAATATACCCTGTTATAGATTGATGGATTAACGACAATTACATAATATACCCTGTTATAGATTGATGGATTATAAAACATAATTTGTTTTATTTTGCTTTTTGGGTTTTTTTTTTTTTTTTTTGTACTCTGGATCAAACTCATGATCTTGCACTCACCAAGGAGGTGCTTGCACCGCCGCTGAGCTAAATCCCTGGCAACATAATGTTTTTAAAATGTTAATTCTCTCCAAACTGATCTATAATTTGAATTTGATCCCAATAAAGATCTTTTTAGACTTTTAAAAATAGAAATTCACAATTTTAATGTTTATAAAGAGATACAGAGAACTTAAATAGGCAGAACAATTTTTTAAAATAATAAATTTTTGAGACTTCAGTTACCTGATTTTATAATTTATATTAAATCTACAGTAATCAAGATAGTATACTATTGGCTTAAAGACAGACATGCTGGTCAATGAAACAGAATTTAGAATCATGAAATAGACCTGCATAAATATGACCAACTGAATTTTGGGAAAGCTGCCAAGACAATTCAATAAATGGGATGGTGACAGTAAGAATCTTTTTGATAAATTGTGTCAAAATAACTGAATATCTACACGTAAAATTATTACTATCCTTATCTTAATTCGTGTAAAATTAATTCAAAATGAATCAGAACTCTAAATGTGAGAGTCATACCTTTAAAACTAGAAAAAAGCATGTGAGAAATTCTTTGTGGCTATGGTATGCTTAATAATGGCCTACATATTATCCCTGGAAACAGTGAATATGTTGTTTCTCATGGTAAAAAGAATTCTGAGGATATAATTAAGGCTCATGAGTTGGAGATATTATCCTGGATTATATTGATGGGCCCACTGTAAACACAGAAACCATTATAAGACAGAAAGAGGAGGATTAGAGTCAAAGATGTGATAGTGAATACAGAAGGTGTAGTGATGTTCTTTGAAGATGGAGGAAGATGCCATGAGACAAGAAATATAAATGATCTGTATAATCAAGAAAAGGTAAAGAAACAAACAATCCCCTGATGCTTCCAGAAGAATATAGCCCTACCAACAATAAAATTTCAGATCCATAAGACTCACTGTGGGCTTCTGAGTCCCAAAACTATAATGTAACAATTGTGGTGCTTTATGAGACTAAATTTGTAGTAATTTGTTATAGCTGCAGTAAGAAATTAATCATGATTGACCTTAAGTTAGGCCACGATTTCCTGGATAAGACACAAAAGGCATAAATCACACAATTAAAAAATCAAAAACATTGTGGCTCATCCAAATTTAATATTTTTAATTGTTAGTACACATTGTAAAGAAAAAGCCAAAGACTTGAATATATAAAGAGAACTTTTATATCTCAGTAATGCTGAGATAATCCAATAATAAATAAGTAAAAGACGTGAACTGCCTCGTCACTAAATTAGTACTCAAATGATCAATAAGAACTTAAAACATTCACAATATTATTGATTGTGAAGGAAATAATAATTAAAACAACAGTGATTTTTAAAAAACATAGTGGTACAACACAACAAAATCAGTAAAAGGGATAAAATTAGAAAAACGATGGCTATGTAGAGGATCTACAATGACTGGAACTCCTATATATTGTGAGTGGAAATGAAAATGGTTATCACTACACACAAAAAACCAATTTAACGTTTCTTAACAAGTTAAATATACATCTACCCTTAATGACATCAATAGATATATACCCAAGAGAAATGGTAGTATGTGTTCACACAAAGACTTGTATACAGATGTTAACAATCATATGCACAAGAGACAAATGCTGAAAACAAATGCCTATCAACATTAGAATGGACTAGTAAATGATTATACATTCATAGAATAGAATGTTAATCAGTAACAAAACAGAAAAGAAAAAGCTACTGATCCATAGAGAAGCATGAAAGAATCTCAAACATTTCATGCTAATAAAGAAGCTAAGCACTAAATACTGTATAATTTTAACATTTTTCTAAGTCTATTTTTTTGATATGGGGAATCAAACTCAGGACCTTGCGATTGCCAAGCAAGGGCTGTGCTACCGAGCTATATCCCTGTCACATTTTTGCTTTATTATATTTTGATTCATATTGAATGTGATTCAGTGTGTTATTTCTATACATACAGCATTTACTAATTAAACGAATCTTTCTTTATCCACTCTCCTCCACTAAACATTCTGAACCTCTAGGGATGATTATTCTACTATCAGGTTCACTTTTTTAGCAGGGACATTTGAAAGAGAAAAGGTACTTGCCTTTGTGTGACCTATTTCACTTAACATATTAATGTCCTCAAAATGCATCCATTTTGTGACAATTGACAAAATCTCACCTTTCTTTATGGCTGAATATTCCATTGTTTATGTAACCCTTGGGTTTTGCTTTTTTTTTTTTTTTTTTTTTTACTTTTTAAATAGACGAAAGGTTGCTATGGTTATCTATTGCTTCTCTAGTGAGTTTTTTCAGTGTGTGCCTTTCAAAGAATTAGTCCATTTTATATAAATTGTTTCACATCTGAGAATAAAATTGTTCACAGACAACTTTAGTTCCCATAAGACCTCATTTTTTTCTTAAGAAAAATATCAGTGTGGCCTTTAGTGACGTTCCTGTTTTTTATTCTTGATATTGGTAACTGTTTTCTTGCTTTTTTTCTTGGTCATTCTGATTACTGGTTTATCAATTTTATTTATCTTTTTTTAAGGTCAGGTTCAGCTCCACTGATATTCTACTGGAACTCTTACATGGAATCTTAAATTATTTATATAAGACATTTCTTTTTTTCTATATAAGAACTTCATTTAAAGTTCTAAGCATTGAT